GGCTCAGTGCAACCTCCGCCTCCCGGGTTCAAGTGATTCTCCTGCCTCGGCCTCCTGAGTAGCTGAGATTATAGGCACATGCCACCACACCCGGCTAATTTTTGTACTTTTAGTAGAGATGGGGTTCCACCATGTTGGCCAGGCTGGTCTCAAACTCTTGACCTCAGGTGATCTGCCCGCCTCGGCCTCCCAAAGTGCTGGGATTACAGATGTGAGCCACCACGCCTGGCCGACTTTAAATTTTTTTTTATAGGGATATTGCCCAGGCTGGTCTGGAACTCCTGGGCTCAAGTGATCCTTCCACCTTGACCTCCCAATGTGATGGGATTATAAATTTGAGTCACCATGCCTGGCCTGAGATCTTTTGTAGCTGCTAGTTTCTAGTACCCACTCATTTATGAGATTATCTAATTGGAGAATACAGTATGGGTCAGGAGTAAGATACGTCATTTGGGAGTAAGTGGGTAGGGCCTGATAAATTTTTGGATCCATTTTAGTCATTAGATGGTTGAATTGTGAACTTGAATATTGCTGCCTTTTCCCCTTAATTTTAGCTTCTGCTCATTCTGTCTCTTTTTCTTTAAAATAGGCCTGGAATGTTCTGGCTCTGGATGGCAGTAACTGGCAGCGAATTGACCTATTTGATTTCCAGAGGGATATTGAGGTATAATTATGTGGTGTGTGGCCCCAGTTTTCATGTTAGTAATTACAGCATGGAACAGATTAGCCCTGACCATATTAATCTCATTTTCCTTAGAGAGAGGAAATATTATTTTCAGTGCATCTGAAGTTTACAGGAACCTCTAGAGTTCCCAAGAGTTTCTGCAGTTTTTGAGAATGAGCCAGATTATTTCACTGAAATAATACAATTACTTAGTATTAATAGGACTAAATAGGATTCTTTGGTCCTGAAATAGGACTAAAAGTTTGTTTTTGCAGTGGAAACATTGAATCTATGTTTGCTTATTTTAGTGAAGACATTTTATATTTGTTTACTGAAGAACAAAGAGAGTTATAACTTGTTAGGATGGCGTTTGTATATATATATTTTTGAGATAACGTGTTTTGATTCTTGAGGAGCCAGTTTCTTGGAGGACAAAGGTTGAATAAAGCCAAAGCCATTTATTGAATTGTTTTTGCTACAGAGAGAGGTTTTTTCCTCCTCTCACTTCCCCCCCCATGTTTTATCTCTTAGTATGCCATCACCTATAAAATGGAGAATGGCTTACCCTTAAATTATTTTAAACTGAATTTGAACTCTGTTGTTCTTATCCTTCTCATCAGGAAGGTAGAAATAATAGCTTCTTCGTGGCTTCTTGAGGATTAAATAAGGTTTTTTGAGGGCACGTGAGATGACTTTACACCTTTAATCCCAGCACTTTGGGAGGCCAAGGTGGGCGGATCACCTGAGGTCAGGAGTTTGAAACCAACCAAAGTGCTTTTAAAATAATACCCATGGCC